GAGAGAGAAAGGCAGAGACAGAGAGAGAGAGAGGCCAAGCCTTTGGTCCAGGCCCAGCTGGGACAGCGTTTCCTCTGTTTGGGTCACCGTGACTGGGGCTCAGCCTTGGCTCAGCCACACTGGTTGGGCGGCCAACATACTCCAGGCAGTCTTGGCCAAACTATGAAGCAAAACCTGTACCCCGAGAGGCAAGGCCACTACATGGGACTAGTTAGTACTTGGTGAGTTCACAGTCCTTGTTAAGGAACTTACGTATTTTGTAACTCTCTTTTAATGAATTTTCAGAAATGAAATTCATAGACAATATAATTTTTCTACACACAGTATTTTTTAGAAATCTGTATAAATTTAATATAGTATGTAATACTGATAATATACTGCATAAAGTATTTTACATAAAATATACTGTATAAAGTAATATAGAAGAAAAGAAAAAGAAAATAATTTAGAATAAAATAATATGCATTTCTGTATGTGAAAGTTCAGGCTCAACCCCATGAGAAAACAGGAACTTGCAAATGCCCATGAATCACTGGCCTTGGAAAACCAGAACCATAAATGTAGATGCATGTTGGAGTGTCGTGTTAACAACTCAGCTCACACGAGCCAGGTGGTCACAGGGACAGAATTTTTAATAATTGTGAATGAGCCTTGATAAAGTTTTTAAAAGTTAATCACTTATTTACTTATATTTTATTCTTGCTTATTCTATTACAGTTGTCCCAAATTTTCCCCCTTTACCCTCCTCCGTCCAGGCCACCCACTGACAATAAAGTTTTAGTCGAGACAAAGACAAATCTCCCCTAGGATTTCATCGTAGTTTTATTCCTTGAAAATTCAATGTATTTTAAAACCATTAAAAAACAGAGTGATGTGGGGGAGATAGAGCTAGCTCCCAGGTCAGGTAATGAACAGGTTTCTCACGTATCTAATTGCCCAGAAATACACGGGAGAGTTGAGAGGTGTGACAATTTCTTGATGTGTCAGACTGTCCTACACATGATAGGATTTTTAGTATCGTTGTCCTGCCATTTGTCAAATGCTGGGGCCTCAATCTTTTGACCACTACAAACAGTATTAATTTCCAGGTTGTCCCCTAGGGGGCGGTAGCGCTCCAGTCGAGAACAACTGCCTGGCACTTTCTCCAGCGCTCTGGCTTTTAAATCAACTCTACCTTTGAGATTGTTTTACATCACGATGTGGAGCTCTGCATCACCTTCAAGACTGCGTGGTATTCCGTCATATGAAGGGACTGTCGTGCAGTTCCCTTTCCATAGCATTCTGCTGTTGCGAACAAGGCTGCGATAAAGGTCATTTCGCACAGGTGCGAGCCGGTGGGTGGAGGGATTCTGAGAACGGCGGGGCTGGGTCACAGTGTTTGGGCCTTGGGCATTTTGGTAGTGATGGCAAAACACTGCCTTCCACGCAGGTAGATTAATCTACACTCCCCACGCAGGTAGATTAATCTACACTCCCCAAGCAGAGCAGGAGAGAGCTGTCCCGAGAACTCTGGGAGTCAGCCTGGAGTGGGGGTGGTGTGCCAATTCTAAAAAATCTTAACAGGCCCTTCCCTTCTGAGGGCCACCTCCTCAGACCATGCCCAGGGTCCGCCTAGTAAAGCCTTGGGTGTCCAGAAACTCCCCAACCCACCTTCTCAGGCCATGGGCAAAGGAAAGGTAGGGAGGCCTTTCCCTAGATGGGTTGATCCTGGCTATTACATTAAGCAATTTCTTTTTAACCTTCAAAAAAGGCAGTTTTGTTGCTCTTCTGATTCTGTAAGTAATACAGGGTGGGGCAAAAGTGGGTTTACAGTTGTGAGTACATGAAACAGAGTTTATTCTTGGATTATTATTTATTAATTATTATAGTATTTTCCGTATGAGCAGCTGTCAATCTACTTTTGCCACACCCTGTACATACATGTTTCAGAGGGGGAAATCTCTTTCCCCACCAACCTTTTGTTTTGAAAACGTTAAAAACTTCAGAGAAAGTGCAAGAATGGCACAATGAGCACCCATATACCCTTTGCCTTGACTCGCCAGTTCACATTTTGCTACATTGACATTATCTCTTTTTGTTTTCTTTTCTGAACCATTTGAGACTAAGTTGCAGACATTCACCCCTAAACACTTCAGCGTGCATTTCCTAAAAGTAAGGACATCTTCCTATAAAACTACAGCATGGTGTGATAAGAAGTTTAACATGGACAAATCAATGTCTACTGTATAGGCGTCATTGAATTTTCTCCAGTTGTTCCAATAAAATCTTCTATAACTTGCCCCCTCCCTGCCCTCAGGGTCCAGTCAAAGACCTGACTTGGCATTTAGCTGTAGGCCTGGAGTTTGGATTTCTCCTCTTGGGCTCAGTGGTCCCCAAGCCTCTGGCCCTGGCTCCAGGAAGGCAGCTCTAGGTGGGGACAGCGCTGGCCGTGAACTCAGAGGTGTTGGCGAGGTCCACAGGAGGGATCTGAGCCTTACTTCAGCCCCTAAATGTCTTCCTACGCCCTAGGCTGCAAGCTGGAGGGGACATTGCCCCTGCCCCAGGGCTTGCCCTGGAAGAATTCAGGCTTAATAAATTACCTTCTGTTTGTGTCACCCTCCCAGTGCTAGGCAAGGACTGGCCCATCAATCCCCACTACAACCCCTGGGGCTGGTACCATTTTCTCCTCTTTTACAGCTGGGAGGAGTTTCTGTTTTTCCATCTGATGAGGAAGGCAGTGATGGCCACATGAGGCCACATGACGACTCTGGAAGGATGAGTGGGTGTCCAGTCAGTGTGAACTGTGGCCAAGGCAGCCAGGACGGTGGCTGTCTCCCCTTGGGGGCTCCAGGCTTGCTCCTCTGGGAAGGCAAGTCTAGCCAGGGCTCTAGAGCTTCATAGGCACCTCAAGGCTCCTGCTGTACCCCGCAGCCACCACGGTCATCCTTTGGAAATGCCTCCACTGGCTCATGGTGTCTCGTTGCCCACAGGTAACCTCTCCTGCCTGCCCAGGCTGCTGCTACCACACTGGACTTTGGTCACATCAACGATGCCCCAAGGTTTCTCAGTCCCAAAGCATTTACCTGTGGGTGAAGGCAAGAACTGCGATCTGCTTAGCTCCAGGTCCCTGACAGCGGGCCACAAAACCATTTGTTGACGCTTTTCATAGTTTTTACAAACATGACTTTAGTCAAGAGTTTGCAAGTTATGGGGGATGGGTGACACCATCTTTACTTTCAGATGAGGAAACTGCAGTGTAGTGACAAATCTCAAAGGCATCCTATTGCATGAAGAAAACCAGAAATGAAGTTCAAGCCCTGCGTTCTGCTGTGGAGGAAACAGACTCAGAGGTCACCAGGTTTGATTCCTGGCTCTGCTGCTTTGCAGCTGTGTGAACTTGGCTCTGGGGAGGAAGGGGCGTAAGGAGTTATAACTATCCATGCATTTGGAGGTAGAGATTGGATCAGGAATGGAACCTGGTTGCTCTTAAGGCCCTTTTCAGAACTTTCTGTGCCACAGGTTCTGGAAGGCAATCAATAATAATAATAAAAACAATAGCCGCTGAGTGCTTGCCACCTGCCAGACAATGGTCTAAGCTCTTTACAGCTATAAATTCATTAAACCCTCACATAATTCCTGTGAGGTGTGTGCATTATTATCTCCATCAGCTCGTTTTATAAACGGGGAAACTAAGGCTTATTAGAGACGTTAAGAGACTTGCTAGAGGTCGCACAGCTGCTGCAGGAGTTGAAGTGAGCTAGGGCCCTGCCTCCCACTGCTCTGATCTTGAGCCAGGTAAGCGGAGCTGCCGCGGCACACCAGCGTTATTTCCTGGAGTTCTTGAGGCCTGAGGCCTGAACAGATGAAACAGATGAGCGGGTCGCTCTGCAGGGATCAGACCGCTGGGCTGAGAACGGGGTGGGGTGGGAGGTCCTCTGGACTCAGGCAGGTGGGGTTTAAATTCTGGCTCGCTCTTTTGAGTGACGTTCGTGCTATTTGACCTCCAGGGTCTCCGGTTTTTCTTCGTTTGTAAAGTGGGAAATTGCATGGGAGAAATCTGGGTTCTGCTTCACACTTGAGTCATTACACGAAAGGACCTCAGTTTCCCCCTCTGTAAAACGGGGACCGGAATCTCTCTGCCGGGGGCTGTGGAGCTGTTCAGGTACACCATAACTTTGAGGGTGTAAAGGTCCTTTAGAGAAGCCGCGTTTTCGCCTGAACCAACAGTTTATAATATGATTTTGTGTTATGTCAGACCTCAGCTTGGTTTGGGAAGGAAATGGAAAGGACGCCTTCCCGCTGGCCTTTTAGACCAGCTGCCACTTCACCGGTCACAGATTGCAATCTCCACGCCCCTGATTTGGGCTTCCCGGCAGCGGACAGTCGCAAAGCCTTTCCGCAGGGAAAGCTGACGGTAGGCCCCCTGGCATCCACGTGCTAACCCAGCGTGCGCAGAATGGCTGGGCCGCCCTAGATCCGGAATGGACCGCTTCTGCGCAGGAGGGGCGGGGAGGCGAGTGACGTCAAAATAGCTGCCTACCCTTCTTAAAGGCGCAGGCTTGCAACCCACGTGCTGCTGCTGCTTTTTTTTTTTTTTTTTCTTTTTTTCCTATTCGAACAAATATCACGGTTGCACGAAAGTTTTGAAGACGAGGCAGTTAGTGAGGTCCCGGCGGCGGGGCTGCCCGGGAGAGAAATGTGCCTCCCTGAGGAGCGGGATCGGAGACATCGGTTTAGGATTTAAGCCCATCTGTCACCCAGGGAGGCGAGGGTAAAGTTCCTGGCCGGTTCCAATTACGAGCTCTTAACTTCGAGCCTTAGTTTCGCCTTCTGTTAAATGGGGTGAATAATAAACTACTTCTAAAAGTTTTGAGACTTAAATAACAGTGTGAGCGTAGCCAACACAAAAATGTCTGTCCCCTTCATTCTGTTAATCCCCTATTAATCCTCTCGTGCGAAGGACTCCGAGGTCCTTAGCGATGTTGAAACGCCCAAGGTCACGCGGAGGTGGGACCGAGGCCAGGTTAAGCCAGGTTGAACCAGGGGCTCCCGGGCCAGCCTTTTCTGTCTGTCCAGCCTGTCTAGCGCAGGCGACAGCTCGTCTAATCCCACTGCCTTACAAGCGCACCCACGCTACGATTTTTCAAGTGGTTTTGGAGCTGATTCCCTCCCGATTATCTGTAAAATGGGGATGATGCTAATTCCTGTTTGATGCGGTCCCCGTGAAATTGTAGAAATCCAGCCCGGCGGGTAAATGTTTGCCGTCATTCTCTGACCTTCCGTGGCTTTGGAGTTGATTCAGCCCCCCGCCGCCACGCATACTAGGCCACTGAGGAGGAAACTGCATTACACACGCTAGTTTGGTAAGTTAGTGGGAGCGCTGGGATTCTCGGTGCAGCGCTCCGCCGCGGGAGGAGGGGACTAGTGGGGTGGGAGTTGTGAGAATACGCGGTCAATGCGGTGCTGCCGACAGGTCACGCACCACGTGGAGACCCGCGACCTTGGCGCGCGGGCCCGGCGGGAACCAGCAGCTTGGGGAAAACCGCTCCGCTCACCCGCGAGGCGGCCTCCAGTGGGCGGGGCCGGCGGCACTCCGTGCGTGCGACCGGTCGGCCCTTGGGGGCGGGGCCTCACCGCGTTTTCCGGGGCCCGAACGGGCTCCGCGGCCTTCCCAGTCAGCCTTGGAGCTAGGCGAGCGCGCGCGGACCCCGCACCGGCCGCGGAGCCCCCATGGGCCCGCCCGGCCCCGGGCCCCGCGCCGCACAAGTACCGAGCTGGAGCCAGGTGGGCGGGGCGGAACCCGGGCCGAGGGCCCGGCTAGGACGGAAGCCGGAGTCGGGTCTCTGCGGGTCTCGGGGATCCTGAGCCAAGGCTGGGCTGGGGGCGCGGAGTTGCGGGCCATTGAGTTGACCAAGTTGGCTCCACCGGGTGCTGCTTTCGCGCGGGGCAGGGGCAGGGGGTGTGGCCGATCGGCGAGGAGAGACCCTGTCTCCCCATTCCTACTTCTTGATTTCTCGGTCGAGTCCCCAGCGTGTAATTTTGGGAAGAGAGAGCAGAGAGATTGTCCTTCTAATCCTGGCCCGGGGGAAGGTGTGGGGAAGGGCCGGGAGCCCAGTCTGCAGTCCGAAGACGCGGACAGACCCTTAGCCGCTTGGAGATTTGTTTACACTTGTCTCTCACTGCCCAGTCCCACCTCTCTTCCACGCTCGGTGACTCGGGGCTTTCTTGTGCCCGTTTTAGGGCTCGGTGTTGGTCTGGGGAGGTGCAGGGCAATGGCTAAAGTGTTTTGATCTTTGGGCCCCTGTGGCCAAGCCGGGCGCCCTCGCCGAGGAAGTGCACACAGTAAGCCTGTGTGGTATGGATGAGGAAATGGCAGTGGGCCATTATCGCCCATGAACCAACCGGTGACTATCCCAGCTTCCTGCCTTACTACTCCCAAAGTCACCTTGGGCTGGCTGCCTCACCTCTCTGAGCTTCAGCTTCCCCGTTGGCAAAGTGGAGATGACATTACCTGCTTTAAAAGGTTATCATGAGGATCATTTGAATTCATCCTCAATGAGTGAGTGGAACGAGGGATCAGAGTAAAATCAGTAAAAGAATTGCCTCAGTTTTCCGCAGCCATTGATATCTGTGTTGTGACTGAGCTTTGTTTTTCAGAACTGAAGCTTACAAGATGGCTGATCAGGACCCTAGGGGCATTAGTCCCCTCCAACAGATGGTGGCCTCGGGTGCCGGGGCTGTGGTCACCTCTCTCTTCAGTAAGACCCTGGGAGGTGGGGTGGGGGCAGCTGGGGACTGGGGCAGATCAGAGATTGGCAGTGTCTTGGTCCTGGAGGAGGGGTAAGGAATGGAGTCTTAAAAGGAGCCTTCAGTTCTGCCCTCTCCCGCAGTGACCCCACTGGACGTGGTGAAGGTTCGTCTGCAGTCCCAGCGCCCCTCAGCGGCTGGCGGTGAGTGTCCAACCCAGGAGCCAGCAGAGGGTGGTACCCGGGCAAAACAGGATCTCACAGCAATGAGATTCCGGGGGCAGGTGGGGGGCTCTCCTGACTTGAGGGGCTGCCTTGTATTTTAGAGCTGACGCCTCCCACCAGACTCTGGAGTTTCTCTTACACCAAATGTAAGTGTCCCGAGCCACAGAGAGCCTGTGAGGGTCATGGGAGGGAGTGTCCCCGTCTCCCCAGGGCACCTGTGAGCCCTGCAGCTTTGGACTAGGACAGACAAACGGACTTCCAGGTTTCAATCACCCCGGCCTCTGTCCTGCACAGAAAGGCTCACCTAGGGGTCCCGGCCTCTGCTGGCCTTCCAGGGCCATGGCAGCCTAATGCTTCCTCCCCTTCCACAGTTCCCCCCTCTCTCCGACCCGCAGGGAAGTGCCTCCTGTACTGCAATGGTGTCCTGGAGCCCCTGTATCTGTGCCCAAATAGCGCCCGCTGTGCCACCTGGTTTCAGGACCCCGCCCGCTTCACTGGCACCATGGTGAGGAGGAACGGCGCCCACAGCTCGGTCCGTCAGCATTCCCGGGGGTTCGGATTGCTCGGGCAGCGGGCCCAGGCAAGGGCAGATACTGCAAAGCACGTGGGGGCAGCCGGTTCAGTTGGGGAAAGGGTTCCCTGTGGAGGTCGTGCCTCCACGAGGTTTTGAAGGTGAACAGAAGTCCACCTGGAGCCAATGGGGAATTGCGTGTGTGAAGGCCCGAGGGGCCAACTGCTTCCCTGCGGGACCCAGGGCTGTGGGCAGGGGCAAGGGCTGCAGGTCGGCCCCAGGCTGGGCCAGCCCCTCACAGGCCTTTTTCACGCTCATCCTTCCTGCCCTGGGCTGATGTCCTCTTGACCAGGACGCCTTTGTGAAGATTGTGAGACACGAGGGCACCAGGACCCTGTGGAGCGGCCTCCCGGCCACCCTGTGAGTACCCCAGGCCTGCGTGTTGTCTTCCCATGTGCCCTGCTGGTCTCTTGCTTCCCTGTTGGCCAGTGGGGTGGGGCAGAGGAGGCCTGGGAGGTCTGGGAGTCCCACTGGCATGTGTTCTGCCCCCCCAGGGTGATGACCGTGCCAGCCACCGCCATCTACTTCACTGCCTACGACCAGCTCAAGGCCTTCCTGTGTAGTCGAGCCCTGATCTCTGACATCTGTGCACCCATGGTGGCTGGCGCACTGGCCCGCTGTGAGCACAGTCCTGGGCCCTTGGTCTGCCTTTGACTGCCCATCCCCACCTGAGCTCAGTCCTAGCTCCTGGCTCCACTCTTTGCCTGCATGGGGGTGGGGAGAGGTCTTGGGCTCCCTGACTCTGGGGCAGGGCCTGCACGCTGATCCCTCCCCCACTGTTCCCCACAGTGGGCACTGTGACTGTGATCAGCCCCCTAGAGCTGGTACGGACAAAGCTGCAGGCTCAGCATGTGTCATACCGGGAGCTGGGTGCCTGCGTCCGAGCTGCCATGGCTCAGGGCGGCTGGCGCTCACTGTGGCTGGGCTGGGGCCCCACCGCTCTTCGGGATGTACCCTTCTCAGGTAGGTGCCAGGGCCGCAGGGGATGGGTTCAAGGAGCCCCTGGGTGATGCACAAGAGGTCTGCGGCCAAGTCCGAACTTCGGCTCTAGTGGTCCTGAAGTCACTTGACTTCTCTGAGCCCTCACTATCTCATCTGTGAAATGGGCTCAGCAAACAGGGTACTTGTCTAGGTTTTCACGAGATAATTCCTACAGAGAACCTCTTACAGAGATGGGCATGTAGCAGGCAGGCCTCTTAACTGGGAGGGAGCGGTTGTCATGATGTGGATCAGTGGAAGGCGGGCGGTGTGGGGCCCGCTCCTCTGCCTTCCCCATATCTAATGCGTACCCTGTGCCCACAAGCCCTGTATTGGTTCAACTATGAGCTGATGAAGAGTTGGCTGAGTGGGCTCAGGCCAACGGACCAGACGTCAGTGGGCATCAGCTTTGTGGCTGGCGGCGTCTCAGGGACGGTGAGTTGACCAGGCTGGGGGTGAGGCTGGCAGAGGTTTCCTAGCATGGCAGTGCGTCAGCTGCCTGTCAAGATGCAAGTGTGCCCTCCCCGGTGACAAGGCTAGCAGACCTTGGTTGGATGCAAGGGGTGGGGTCCAGGGAATGGAGGTGAACCCTGTCCCCGCCCCACCAGGTGGCAGCCATCCTGACTCTGCCCTTCGATGTGGTGAAGACTCAACGCCAGGTTGCGTTGGGGGCGGTGGAGGCAGTGAGAGGTGAGGGATTTGGCTGGGGTGGGGTGGGGGCAGGCGGGGGGTCCAGGTGGGGTCTTAGTGGACCGTGCCTATGTCTGCAGTGTCGCCCCCGCACGCTGACTCCACCTGGCTGCTGCTGCGGAGGATCCGGGCTGAGTCTGGCACCAGAGGACTCTTCGCCGGTGAGTGTCCGCGCGCGTGTGTCCAGGCCCCAGTGGAGTCGGGGGCCCTCTGGGACCGGCCTCTGACCCTAGCCCCGCCCTCCCACCGCAGGCTTTCTCCCAAGGATCATCAAGGCCGCCCCGTCCTGCGCCATCATGATCAGCACATACGAGCTGGGCAAAAGCTTCTTTCAGAGGCTCAACCTGGAACAACCTCTGGGCCCGTGAGAGGAGCAAGGGAGCGGGACACTCTCTCTTCCACGGACGGGGTGGGGCAGGAGGAGCCTGAGCCAAGTGCCTTGTCCTCAGGAGAGGGGCCTCATTTTTCTTCCCCCTCAACTCTGAGCCCTGGGGAAGCACCTCGCCCCTTTGGGCGCCCCATGCCCCCTCAGACAGCTTTCTTCCTGCTGCTTCTCATTCCAGGCCCTAAGGATCATTACTTTCCCACTCTCCCCTTTCAAGTTCAAGACCAAATCTGTTAACAGGTCCCCAACCCCCACCCCCTTGCCCATTTCCCCGTGTGTGTGTTGTAGCCGGGCCTGCACCTGTTAATTCCTTGAGTGTAAAGATGACAAACTTCTCTCCAGTGCCTGTGACTGCGGGGGCAGTGGGACTGGGGGAAGCAGGGCTTGGCGCGTGCTTTGCACAGAGGGGCCTGGAAGGGACCGCGGTGTAGGCTTTGGCTGCCCAGGTGATGTCCATGGAGAGGACGCCCCCACCAATTTAGTGAGGACCCAGAGTGGGCGGGGGAGGCAGTCAGTGGGCAATATCCTGGTAGCGTTAGGGCCGGGGTGAAAGATGGTGAAACCCCTTCTTCCCCAAGGGCACACTTAAATGATGGCCGGGGAGGGAGGGTCGCCTCCTTGCCAGGCTTTGGCCTCATGGAAATGTTTGCGCCTTTGGGCCAAAGCTGAACCGCTGAGGATGATGGAAGGAAAGCAGCCCGCAGGGCTTGCCCCTCCATCGCACCCCGCCCCCCAGAATGTTCAGTCTCTCCTCTCCCTGGAGTGGAGCAAGTTCTTAATATCAGGATGAAGGGGTACTTAGGTGTCTTGGGCCTGTTCTGGGCAGACCTAATACTCAGGACACTTCATACAGAAGTCACCCACTCCTGAACCGTTCTGACCCACGGGGCACGCGCTGACTACGGTCCAGCACGAAGTTGGTTGTGGGCGCTGGCTCTGTCCCAGTCTGCAAACCTCAGGCCAGGGCCCTGTCCCAGCCCCCACAGACAGGCTTCCCTCAGTCCTCCGGTTTTTATTTGCCTGATTCCCTCAGAGCCCCTGCACCAGGGGCTGAGGAAGAAGTGACTCCAGGGGATGAGCACAGGGACGGGTTGGGTGGGGGGGTGAGGGCGAGGGTGCCGGTGCGGAGGCTGCCGCAAGTTCCTGAGGAGGGTGACAGGGCTAGGGACGGAGAGTCCCGGGAGGGAGCCCGCCAGGCAGCAGTCCCTGGGAGGGCGAACAAGCTTCCCCAAGGGCTCCCTGTGGCCTTGGCAACCCCACCTTTCTGCCCGACCTGCGTCCCTTGGCAGCCCTGGCTTCCTCGGGCAGGAAGCTAAAACCAGAAGCAAAAGGTTCCTTTCCCAAGAGCTCCCTGGCTGGGCGGGCAGCGTTCCCTGGAAGGGTGGCCTGGATCGGGGGACTCTGCAGAAAGGCAGCAGGCATCTGTGCCCCTGGCACAGCCCACGCTGTTCAGCTGGGGCTCAGTGCTGGGCTGCCCTCAGGACTGTCGCTCACCAGGCACTCGTTGGATTTGAAGCTCGCCAGGGACTTGCAGCTGGGGATGGAGGCCAGGGAGCCGCAGAGGCCCAGCATGGAGGGCGTGGGGTCCTTCCCTGGGGAGAGAGGCGGGGTGAGGCCAGGCCAACCCATCTGCATGTGTGTGGCGGGGGGCGGGCTCAGGCTGGGAAGGGGTAGCCCCTCAGGTCTCACCACCCCCAGACTTCCCTCCTTTCTGCAGCATTTGCATCTCAATGAACCTTGGTGGGCGCCTGCCCGTGCCATGCAGAGCTGGGAACACTATCGTAATCGTCAGTTTCTGTCTCTGTCTCCCCCTGAGGCTCATCCTCTCTCTTTGTCCGTTTATTTAACACAACAGTGAGCACTCGTTCTGTTCCAAGCACTGGGGATACAGAGAACGGACGAGACACAGTCCTTGCCCTCAAGGAGCTCACAGTCTGGTGAGGAGACAGACGGACAATCACAAACTGTGGCAGGGTCACAAGTCCATGCCTGCCTTGTCTGAAAATCTAGGGTCATCCAGTACAGTAGTTTTTAGAAACAAAAGACATGACGTCCGGGCACCGGGAAAACTAGGGTGGGAAACCAAGGTGAAGCCACGGGGAGGGCAACACAAAATGCATGCGTTGAAGTCCTGGACACTCGCTTGAAGGGAGCCACTAATTTGGCTCCGAGCCTCCTGGCAGCCAAAGAAAAGGGGGAAACAAGGGTCAGGCAAGCAGTTCACAGAGTGCATGAGATATGAGCAAATTAGGCAAAGAACTCCCTGGGAATTTGAACCCCTTGAGAATGTCACGGTACCAAAAAGCCATTAAGCCCTCACTACGCGCCAACACTGGTGATCACTTTAATCAGCATCCCCATTTTACAGGTGAGAGGGGCCCAGCAAGGTGCATACTTGACCATGGCCCACAACCGAGGGGGCACAGCTGGGGTTTGCACCAGGGTCTGCCTGACACCCCAAACTGAGCACTTCCTTGCCGTGCTCGCCTCTGCAGAGGGCCTGACTACAAGCCCCGAGGCCTGGCCTGAGCCTTTTCTGCAGGGATGCCGGGTGCTGGATTGGGGGGCTCACCGATGGGGCCCCAAGGCTCCTCGTCCTGCTTGCCCTCTCCCAGGCGCTGGGAGTCTGAGCTCAGGCTGGCTTCCGCGGACAGCGGCTCCGTGCTCATGAAACTGTGTCTGCGACAGAGCAGAACGCTGGTGTACCAGCTGCTGCTTACTGCTCCCCGCCCCCCCTCCCCTTTTCCCTAGGGGGAACCATGGCTCAGGCCTGAGCCGAGCTTGGCTGTGCTTACCTCCGGTAGAGCTTGGGGTTGCTGACGCCCTCAGCCCCATTGAACGTCCCCAGTGATGGCCATTGGTTGACCAGGGGGGTGGTGAGCTCCTTGGAACTCTGGGCCAGGGGAGCGTGGTCGCCAGGGATCAGACCTGTCCTGGGATGGGGAGGGGGGTAGTCAGGGGCGTGGAAAAGGGGAGCCGAGTGGGGATGGGATCTCAGCGAGGGGTGAGGGTGGAAACCTGGGGGCAATCTTGGGGATCAGTGGGACCGGTCCTGGGAGGCAGTGGGAGGCACTGAGGGTCAGAGGCAGCAGGGATGAGTGTGCTCACATTGGGGGCTAGAGGGAGTGAAAGGGTGTTGCGGGAGGCAGTAGAGAATAATGGAGGAACCCTGAAATGTAACGGGGGTGCTTGCGGAATCATGCTGGGCGGTCAGAGCCTGATGAAAGGTTTGGTGGGGAAATGTCAGGGATCGGTATATGTGAGGTAAGGGGTCACCATGGGTAATGACGGTCAGTAGGTGTATGTTGCAGATCAGAGGGACTAATTCAACGTGGGGCACGTAGAAGACCTCCGAGTAACAGAGGGCCTTGTGAGCGTTGTTGGGGTCCCTGGAGTGATGGGATGGCCACCCTAGCCGAGGCCGGATAGTTGAGGATGAAGTGGGGAGCGGGTTTTCGGAGAGATCCCAGAATGTTAGTTGACGGGAAGGTTACTGGTGGGATCTCCGGGTAGAGGTGATCAGAGGTTTGATACTGGCGGTTGGTTGAGTTGGATGTGGGTATCGGAAAAGGTGAGGTTAGAGTCAGGGGGCGCGATGAGGTCGGGGTGGCCGGGGCTGATCAGGGCGGCGGCGGCGCTCACAGCTGCTCTTGCAGCTCCAGGATCACGCCTTCCAGCTCCCGCTTCTCGCGCTGGTTCTGCGCGGCCGCCTCCTCCAGCTGTAGCTGGAGCCGCCGGTTCTCCGCCTCCAGATCCTTCAGCTGCGACTCGCGCAGACGCACCAGCTCCTCCAGGTAGCCCTGCGGAGCGCGGGCTCAGCGCAGGCGGCGGGAGGAGGGTCCCAGCAGCCGCCTGGCCCGCCCCCCTCGGCCGCCCAGCGACCGGCCACCGCACTGAGCAGCGCGCACCTTCTGCGCGTAGACGATGCGGAACTTCTGTTCCATTTTGTGCCACTTGCTGTACCAACTGTCCTCGTCGGTGACGAGCGGCAAGTACGGGTGCTCGGGCGAGTTGTCCTCGCTGGTGCTGCTCTCGGCGCTGTGCCGCTCCTCCTCATCGGTCAAGTAGTCGTAGCTTGCGGGAGGGAGCAGCGGGCACCGGCCGACTCGCCCCGCGGCCCCCTGGGGCCCGGGGCCGTGGCGCCCGCCCAGCCAGCTCCCTGCCGCCGTCCCCGCCCCGCAGGGCGGGGTCCTGCCCGCACCCACCGCAACAACCGGGCTTCTCACCTCTGGGTGAACTTTAGGTAGGGCGTGTAATCGATGACCACGGGGGTCTTCCCGTCCAGCACTTCACCCTTTAGGCAGAAGCTGGGGGCAGAGAACCCACAGGGTTGGGGGTGTGGGGATGGACATTCGCGGGGGGGAAACCGCACCACCGCCACTGCCACCGACACCCAGACCCCACCTGAAGTCTATGGCGCTCAGTCCTATCAGCATCCCAGTGAGGACTGTGGCTTCCTCCCTCAGCATGATGGCTCCTGAGTCATAGAAACGTCTGTGGGGAGCGTGGGGGGAGCTGATGGTGCAGTATCCTCGCAGGCAGCCCCTGTCTCTCAAGGCTTCTCTCCTTGGCTTATTATAAATCTTACCCAGAAGAAAGAGGTACCTGCTTCCCGCCCAGCTCTCAGGTGGGGCTCTTGTGTCTCCCTCAGACTGGGGCCCACTGGGAGTAGCACCGGTGTCTCCCATCTATTAGAATGTTCCGTCTGAGAACAGGCTCCCCTCAATCTTCTGAGCTACCCCTCCCCCCCCCAAGGACTGGGTCACCCAAATCCTTAATATCAGGAAACACACCGTTCCCCACGGGCCCATCCTGCCTGTGACCCTGCCTCCCAACGCAGAGCAGGGGGTGAAGCTCTGCGTGTGTGGGTAGCGAGCAGGCGTTGCTACCATTGTTTGGGGAGCAGGTAGGGCTGTGTGCTGTAGGTCATGGAACAAGGCCAACAAATAAAATGATACACAGTCGAGACTTGTCCAGATGTGTGTCTAAATGTAGAGCTGTGAATGAGACTGGTACTGGGAAGTGATGGAGGATAAAGAATTTGACTTGGAAGAGGTGATGGTGGTGCCAGAGGTGTGCTTCGGCACGGCGGTCTGGACTGACCTGTGGACAGTGTGGAAGAAAGGAAAACTAGTAGCGCATGCTGGGAATTGTAGTCCAGATAGGAAAGACTGCTGCAGGAACTTAAGAATCAAGTGTGTTTAGGCAATGACCAGGTACCCCGGGACCTGCGGGCTGAGCTGACTGAGAGGGCCTGACCTGGTGGTCCGGGTGTCCCGCAGAGCTGTGGTGATGTATTCTGACATGCGCTTCTCCATCAGTGCTACCCGGATCCATGCCCGGCCCTGGAAAGCACACTCACCTTTACTTGCAGCCCTGAAAGGGACCCATGTGTGCACCTTTGGGACTGGACCTCCTGGGCTCTTCTCCCCAGTACCCATGACAGGAGAAAGCACCAAAGAGCAGGCAGTTCCCCTATATCCAGAGCAGGGAGCAGCTGCCCTGGCCCATTGCAGGCCGCTCACCTTGGCGCGGGCTGTGCTGATGTTCTCCATGTTCTCGATGCTGCTCACACAGTTGTTGGGCACTTTGCTGCAGGCCAGCCGGATATAGTCCCAGAAGCCCCGCTGCCCGTCTGAGCTAAACCAGCTCACCGGACCTGCTGGGGCACAGGCTGAGCCAGGGCAGGGAGGGGGCTCAGCAAGACATGGGAGTTTGGAGAGGGTCCGTGTAATAGGGCACATACATGCATAAGTCTAAGCAGCCACACACATACATAGCGCCTACCCCAAATCTATGTGCACACACATGCACATACACAAAGGTCACGCCAGCATATGACTGCGTGTCCAGAAGGCCCCTTCCCCTCTTCCCAGCTCTGTGCATGAGCTGCCGCGCGTGACCCAGGCTTCGGGACCAGGGTCAGTGATGGGGTTCGGAAAGCCACAGAGTTGATCAGAGTGGGGCAGCTGGGGGTTGGGAGGGCTGGCCAATAAGGGGCAGGAACCCGGGCCCACCTTTGAAACGGTGGCTGAGGATCTGCTCCAAGATGGCTGCAAAATTCACAAACTCCTCAGACGAGTCATCGATGGGCTCTGCTGTGTATTTCTCCAGCAGTGTTTTCACGGAGAACCTGGGTGGGGGTAGGCAGAGGGGACAGCAGGATGTCAGGTGAGAAGAGAGGGTGACGGTGGCAGGGGAAGGGCATCAGCAAAGAAAGGGACAAAGGGCAGAGAAGTGGTCATGAAGCACATGGGTGGTCGTGGGGTGGCAGAGGGACAGAGGGCGGGGGATAGGTGAGAATACAGTGACCACAGAAGCGCTATGACATGGGAGTGCTAGGGTGGCAGGTGGAAGACTGACAAAGTGGGTGACAGGAAATGTGACCGCCAGAGAAAGGAAGCTTCGGGAACAAAGTACGAGAGGGGATGAAACAATAGGCACCTAGAGCCGCTCCCCCTTGCCCGCCCTCTCAGCTGCATTTTCTGCATGTGGGCTGGGGGTTGGCAGGAGTTAGAAACTGGCTCACACCCATGCCCTGAGCTTCTGCTCTTGCTGGAACAACCTTCCGTCCCTCCTGGGGTGGAGGGTCACCTGTGCCAGGGCCTGTGAGTTGGCACCAAGCACACAGGGTGTGGGCGTGCGTGGTGGCCAGGTGGGCTCTCAGCACACCGGGGGCCTCCCTTCCCCTTTTCCTTCCCAGTTCGGCTGCCTACATACCAGCTGCCCAGAGCCAGGCGGAGAGAGTTGGGCTGGGGGAGGGGCAGGGTGTGGGCCTGACAGACGCAGAGGTGGGGGGAGCATCGGCAGCAGATCCCAGAAGGGGCCCCACGGTCCTGACACCTGCCTGCCCGGAGAGGAAGGGAGAAGGCTCTCAACATCCGCTACTGCCCTATTGTGGGTGGCAGAGCAGATGCGGGAGTTGCTCGGAGCTGCCTTTTCTTTTTCTAAGCTCATCAAGCCCGGTAACGTGCCAAGCACTAAATTTTGCGGGTATTATCTCATCCCTCCCTACAACAGCCCTGGGAGGCAGTTCCTCTTATTATCACCATCATCCTCATTTCACAGATAAGGATTTGACTGATTTGTTCAGCCACATCACGCAGTTTGTGAGGATTGAGGTAGATGTGTCTGATTCCAAAGCCCTTGCTCTTTCTGCTACATCTTGTGGCCTCCTGGTGGCTGTCAAATTCCCAAGGACTTCAGCAGCCGCTGCCCCCTCTGCCCTCCATCCTGCAGGCTCCAGCCCTGGGGCACTGGCCTCCCTGGCTCTCAGGCCAATGGCACAGCTGAGTCCAAAGGCCTCCCTCCCTTCCCTCTGGGCTTGGAGTTGGTCTGGCCCGAGATCAGAGCCAGGCCAGTGTTGGGACTGCCCTGGGGGCAGCAGCCTGGCAGACTCAGTCCTCTTTCCCTGTGATTCCCCTGAGGCTTTGGACAACTAGCCCAGTCTCTCACAGGCCCGTAGGAGGTACACACAGGAATCACAGCACCTGCCTCGTTAAATTTCCATTCAGATCCCAGGCAGGGCTGGAAGAAGGTGAGCGTGTACAGGCCAGGGGTGGTGAGGAGCTGGGCCATTGATGGGAAGGTCGGGATATTATCGGGGCTTCATTATGCAGCTCCCCCGCCCCCACCCTGATGATTCCTTCTGGTCATCTGGGTCAGGCCACAGTGGGAGCCTGGGGCAGGTTTCAGCATGGCAGCCATCTGCCACCTGCCCTCAGGGGTGCTGCAGAGCTGGTCGTTGCCCCAGGGAGCCCCACGGTGTGCTCCCTGTCAGGAGGTGCAGTGACTGCTGCAGGTTACCATGGAGACAGGGAGGCCGCGGCCCATGGGAGCCTTCAACCTGCTAAAGGGATCTGTTCTGGGAGCTGGAGGCGAACCATGTGACAGTGATGAGGCCGCTGAAGCCTGAGGGGTTTCTGAGCCTCTGTGGTGCCCGCGGCCCACCCCCCAAAACCTCTCTCCCACACTGCAGCTCTAGGTTCACGTTCAGTCCACCAGGCCCTCTGCTTCTGTGGCCTAGGCCGAGCGGAGTTCCCCACTTCCCCACACACTCAGGAGGCCCCACTGTCCTGGCAGGCAAGAGAAAGAAGAGGGACAGGAAGGGTGTCATCAGGACAGAGCTATTGTGTCCCAGGCCCCGGGCTAGGCTCCTACGTGGATTATGTCATTGCCATTCCTTCATTGCCATTCCTTGGCGTGGCTGTTACATCTGTAATGGGGATGAGGAGGCACCCAAGGCCCAGAGTGAGCAGGAAACTTCCCCAAGGTCACACAGCTAGTAACTGATGAAGTAAGAGCTTGAACCTAGGACCAGCTGGCCCCAAAGGCAGAAATCTTTGTTCTACACCACACTGGCAGGGTTTGGGGTGTGAGGGTGGAGGCAGTGGCCAGCACTTCGCACTCGTCCCTTCTAGAACATTTCAGGCATTCTTGCAGATGTCCGATGCACACAACACTGTGCTGGGCACTGGGGATGTAGCGCTGTGAGACAGGCACAGGGTGGCTGGGCGTGTGTGCCCAGGAACCTGGGAGGAGCTGTCAGGTGTAGCAGCCAGGGCATCAGGTGGGCACTGACTCCTGTGTGCAGCAGGTGGGGCTGCCAAGGGGAGGCAACTGAGATGTGCACTGGGAGCTCCCTACCCTCAGAGGTGCCATGGGAGCGGGGTGGGGGGATTGCAGGTGGGGAACGCAGCTGGTGGGGGATCCTGGAGGGAGAGATGAGTGTGCGTGTTGAGGGGCGGGGGCTGAAATAGAAAGGCTGAGCGAATGACCCTTCCTGGCTTCAGGGCAGGGAAGGGGGGGTGAGTCTCTGCAGGGCTGAGGTGGGAAGGTTTACTTGGGGGGGCCCCAGGAAAGCAGGGGAATCTTCCCAACACTGCAACAGCCCTACCCTCCGGGGCCAATGGGCCTGCCCTCCCAATCTCCTCCCCTTCAACCAAGGAGACCGGGTTCCTTTGGCCAGGCCCTGGGCCCTCGGTCCTTCCCACCCCTCACTGGGTGGATTCAGGCTCTTTGCCCCTGTGCCCAGTTGACTCTGTCGCAGAGAAGGAGGGCACCGTTCCTGCTTCAGGGTTTGAGCCCTGGAAAATATTCCAGAAAAGCCCCACTCCAGAGAGGCTAGGCCATTAAGGAGGAGTGAGGGTATACTTCAGGGGGGATCGCCCCTTACCCCCCCAGTTCTCCTAGGCCCGCGGCCTCCCTGTTCCCAGCAAGGGAGCCAACCATCAGCACCCCTCCCCCTCACGCACAATGTCACTTCCTGGTTCTCACAGGAAGCTGCAGTACCAATTAAACACCCCTCACCCTCCAGGCCCCAGGCTGGCCAGCAGGCCTGGCTTGGCCTAGAAGGGTAGAGACCAGACCTTCGAACCCCCTCCCCGGTCTGGGCCTTTGAAGGCGCTCCTCTTAACCCTGTGCCGCCTCCGTTTTCTCGAGGCTGCTGTGCATCCTTCCGCTGGCACGCACATCCAGGTTTCCAAAGCCCGACCCCACGCCTCTCCCCGATCACCCCACCCCCACCCGCCCGCGGAGCCCACCTGCACACGGTAATCAGGTTCCTACGCTCCACGGCCACATTGCGGGAAGACGCTTTCTTGGAGGACAGCCCCAGAGCCATGATGGTCTGGACAAAGCTCGCTTCCATCCAGATGTGCAGCCACTGCTGCCGCTGCCAGCTGCCCCTTGCCCCGCCTGGTGCTCCGGCCTCCAGCCCCCGCCGGATCACGGCTGGGCCCTCTGCCCGTCGGGGCCCCTCGACCCCTCTACGGCCATCCCCCCTGCCACTGCGCCGGGTGCCCGGCCCCTTGGCTCCCTCCCCAGGCGGTGATTCCGGAGCAAAACAAGGCCGGGGAGGGAGCTCTCCGAGGTGCTGAGCCGGGGCCGTCACCCCCTCCCCTAGTCGCCCGCCCCACCTCTGCCAGTGACGTCAGGGCCCTGGGCCCCGCCCCCAGCAGGCCGGGGACCAATCCGCAGAGGGTTCAGGATTTGGAGGGGAGGGAAGAGGACCAGAGCCCCAGGGAGGGCGGAGGGGGTCTCCACAAGAGGCAGGGATTGGAAGGTGTAAGAGGGAGCATCTGGCCTGTCCTCTACCCCCACACCCAGAGCCCGGGACCCCTCGCCTTGCATCTCTGAGCTCCGCCACCTCCACTCTCCTGTTCCTGACCCTTGATCAGTGGTATCTAGCTCAGATTTCTCCCCCTGATGCATAAGGAACGGAGGTCCCCACCTCCTGTACACTCATCCCAGCCACCCCCACCTTCCTAGCAAGACCAGGGCCAGGTCTGTGTCCAGAGAGGGCAAGTGGCCCTACACTGCTGACTCAGGAGGCCAAGGAGCAGTCAGAATGACTGGGTATCTGTCTGCGCTCAGGATCGACTTGGCTGCGTCAGCCAGTGGAGTCTACAGCTCCCAGGGTGGGGGATGGGAACCCAGAATCAGCCGTAGGAGCCGACCGCCTGGAACCTCTCAGGACAGAGAGTGGAGCGTAGACTGACAGCGAAGGGCCTGCGCTCTGCGGAGGTTCCCAGCAACAGAAGTGGTGCCCACAGTAGTGTCAAGGCAACTAGAGGGGGTGCAGCCAAGGCACCGCTTCTCCTCAGAGTCTTACATCCTCACACCACCCTAGGGACCTCTGGCTTTTGGTTAACCTCACTGCTGAGAATGTGGCTGTGTGGTGCCATCAACCCTTCCCGCGAAGCTGAGGAGGTTCCCGCAAAAGTGGTTGCTTCTTTCACAGGAAGGTGGGGGCAATGGAGGCACAGTCGGGCTCCCCGGCTGCCCTTTGCCTCCCAGGTGCCCCATCGCGCTCCTGCTCCCGCGTGCTCTGCTCCCTAGGTCCCCCTGTCCTCTTTCGCCTACTGAAATCCCGAGCTTCTGCAGAAAGCCTCTCTGTGTTGATTGAAGGGGCTCCACTCGACTTCTCTGGCTGGCCTTGGAAACATCCATCCCAGGGCTCAGCTGCTATCTATTCACCACCTCTGCCTAACGACTGGGTCTCCTCTCCTCTGCTACTGGATGATCAACATCTCCACGTTGATTACGACCGGCAGGCCGTGGCCCTCTGTTAGCACAGGGGAGGAGGTGAAAGACCTACAGAGAATCTCCCAACTCTTGTCTGACTCCCCAGGGGCTGGGGAGAAGGTCCTGCCTCCTGGCTCTTACCTCAGGTTCATTCAGCCGCAGCCTCAATTCTTCCCTTCCAGGACCTCAGACTTGGTTTTTTCTGCCTCTCTTTTGCCTTTTCTCTCTTGCCTTATCTCTAGAAGCCCTTCCCAGCATCCTCCTGCCTCTGGACTTTAGCCAGTGGCAATCATGATGCTCTTTTGTTTTTCAATTGCCAGATTTATCTTATGCACAAAAGAACACACAACACACTAATGTGCAATTTAAAGAAAATTAACAAGGCAAACACTTGTGTCATCACCTCAAAGATCAAGAAAAGAACATTGTCAACACCCAGGGCCTCCCGTATGTTTCACCCAGATCTCATCTTACTTAATTCAACCCCCACCATCTGGCTTTTGTGATCATTGTTTCCTTGACTTTATAGTTTCACCATCTGTATGACCATCAATAAAAATATAGTTTAGCCCTGGCCCATGTGGCTCAGTTGGTTGGAGCATCGTCCCATAACTGAAGGGCTGCGGGTTCAACTCCCGGATGGGACTTATGCCTAGGTCATGGGTTCAGTCTGGTGTCCCAGGCACGGATGATCCAAGGCCCGAGCACATGCAGGAGGCAGCCAGTCGATGCCTCTCTCTATCATTGATGGTTCTCTCTCTCTCTTCTCTGCTCTCTTTAAAAACACTGAAAAAATGTCCTTGGGTGAAGAATATATGTATTCCAGAAAGAGTCCAGCCGTTGTTAATATGATGAGAATGGTTTGCCCGACATCACGTAACCTGACAGCCAAGGAGAGTGGATTGGAATGCTCATGGGTGAACAATGATAACTTCACTGCACTAGTCAGTGGGGGCGAGAGACGCTGTTGAGGGAGCGTGTGTACTGTGTGGCTGCTGCATTCAAAATGACTGAGTGACTAGAGCAAACGAATCTGCATGAAATTTTGCATTAAGCTTGAAAATTCCTTCATGGAAACTATTCAGATGATTCAGAAGGCTGCCGCTATGGGCAACTGGTGGTTGGCAGCTTCAACACAAAAATGCGCCCGTGTGTGCATCACATCTCGCACAGAGGGTTTTGGCAAAACATCAGATCACCATGGGGACTCAGCCCCCCTACAGCCCAGATTTGGCGCCCTGTGACTTCTGGCTTTTCCCAAAACTAAAATCACCTTTGAAAGGGAAGAGATTTCAGACTGTCAATGAGATTCAGGAAAATACAATGGGGCAGCTGATGGCAATTGGGAGAACTGTGTGAGGTCCCAAGGTACCTACTTTGAAGGTGACTGAGATATCATTGTCCTATATACAACATTTCTTGTATCTTCTTCAATAAATGCCTCTTATTTTTCATAGCACATGGCCGGATAATTTCTGGACAGACCTCGCATACAGCAAGGGACATTTCAATAAAAATAGATCTTCAAAGTTTAGGAAAAACTATGCATTATAATAAATGGTGTGGAGATCCTGGAACTTCCTTGGCAAAGCACTGGGAAAGGGGTCAAAAGGCTCAGGGGGGTGGGCACACCAGAATGAAATCATTGTTATTCACGACCAGAGAGCCCTCCAGCCTTGTGTTTCTCACGAGGGCCCAGAGGTGATTCCTGCAATAAAGTGACAAGAAACTAGATTGCTGGAGCCCCCCCGGCCCCATTTGCTGCTCAGCAGTGGCTCTCCTCTGCCGGCCACAGCTGATGGTAGCAGACGCGGCTGTGGAACTGGGCTTCCTGGAGTCAATGGGTATGAAGGAGTTCGGAACAGAGGCCAGGGTCCAGCATTTAGGCATCGCAGCCAAGGTGGATGTAATTACTGTAATGGGAGGCAGACCAAACGGCAAGCTGGGACGCAGTGTGATGGCCAATAGACCGTGGACTTTCTAGGCAGGTGCACACAGTGAGGGTATTTCTTGAGTTATATAGCAAAAGAAAAAAGAAAAAAAAACATATAGTTAAGAATGAGTAAGCAGAAGGCTGATGTTACCACTGCAAAGGAAAATCGTGATCCCTCAACCTACTTTCCAAAACCAAACCTTTTTTTTTTTTTTTTTTTTTTTTTTTGGCTGCAGAGCCCATTGATTGAAGGGGAGGCTAGTTTCCTTCGGGGAAAACGTTGCAATGCTTCTGTCACAGTAATTATTTCATTCCTCCCCCGGAGGTACTCACAGCCATTTATCAGAGCACCTGTGCACGGAGGGAGGCGGGATACTCAGATATTTCAAGGCTTTTGGGTACAGGGTCTGAGCTAACACCCATACTAAGGGACCAAAAGTTCCATTCAGAACACATGTTAGAATAGGGCATACACAGGCCAAGTGATAAAAAGAGACCTGCCCAAGTCCGTCCCCCAGTGGATGTGAGAGGCTCACATCCTCACCTGGTGGGTGTTTCCCTGGTCCCTGAATCCATAATTGGAATAGATGTGTAGCACTTAACAGCCGGCAGAACTCTCACATCGGTTTCCTAAAATAAGAGCCACCAGCCCTGGCCAGGTTGCTCAGCTGGTTGGTGTGTTGTCCTGGTCAGGGCACATGCCTAGGTTGTGGGTTTGATCCCCAGTCAGGGTGTGTATGGGAGTCAACTGACCGATGTCTCTCTCTCTCTCTCTCTTTCTCTCTCTCAAATCACTAGACATATTCTTGGGTGAGGAGAAACAACTTTTTACATAAAAGAGCCATTAGAGAAGGAATGGAGATGTGGAAACTGTCCCCTACCCTTGCCAAGATAGTGAATCAGAAGACATACCCCGTCCCAGGTGGCATACAGCGATTATAGACATCCACAAAGGACACAGCAGTAGAGGTGTCGGTTACATCTCCATTTCACTCGTCAGTCTGACCCTCGGCGACAACCAGATAGTGGTGGACGTAAGCAAGCAGAAGCCCCGCTTTCGCTGCTGTGCCAGGTGATGTGGCGGTTTTCCCAGAACAGATCAATACAGCCCCTGGCATTTAGTACGGGGCTATTCATTTGGTGAAGAAAAGAGGATTAGAATTTTACAACAGCACACTTCCCTTTCCTCTCTCGCTGACCTTGAATGTTGTTGTTACGCATTGTATTTTAGTTGACATTTCCATGCTTGTTAATGACATTGAGCATTTTTCACAGGCTTATTGGTCATTTGGGTTTTCTCTACTATGAAGTTCTTATTCAAAGCATTCTGTTTATTTTCTCTTGGACTTTTCTTTAAAACCCACCCGAGGATAAGTTTATTGATTAGAAGGAGAGAGAGAGAGAGAGAAATCGATCCATTGCCTCCCATATCCATACTACCTGGGGATTGAAATGAGACCTAGGTAGGTTCCCTGACCAGGGATCAAACCTGCAGCCTTTTGGTGTATTGGGTTGATGCTTCAATCAACTGAGCCACCAGGCCAGGGCTCTTGGATTGTTTTCTAATTGCTTTGTATCTTTTGTCACTTGTATGTATTACAAAGTATTTTCCCACATTCTGTGGCTTGCCTTTTTGTCCTCTTTATGGTATCTTTTTACGAACAAAAATTCTCAACTTTAATATTATGAAATATATCACTGTTTTTGTCTCTTGTTTAAGAAATCTCTCCTGCCCGGGCTGGGAAGCTCAGTTGGTTGGCGTGTCATCCCAGTTCTCCAAGGCTGTGGGTTCGATCTTTGTTCAGGGCATATGCAAGAGTCAACCAACGAAGGCATCAATAAGTGGAGCGACAAAGCGATGTGTGTGTCTCTCTCCCTCAAAATCGAGAAATAGAGAATTTTTAAAAAGAAATCTTCCCTATCTT